GGATTTGGTCCAAGGAAGTGTTTCACCTAAGTATCTACTTCTAATAACTTTAACTGCAACTCTTCCCAAATCCTCAACCCCCTCCTTCATCCTCCCCCACCTGACAAATACCCCTGTTCCTTCCTCCAGTGTCCCTCCTCATCCCTTTCTACTTCCTGCAGAATTTGCAGACCATATTCAGCTCTCTTCGCACTTTCGACAGCACCGTGGAAGAAGAGATTTTGTTTCTGCTATCTGGACTGAGTTTATGAAACTACAATCAATGGCTGTGATGAGCCATTTCCTGTGATCCCAATTAACTTCTGAATAGCAGTGCCATTTCCCCCTCTATCTATCTTGTGGCCTGTTTGCATAATCACTGCTAAAAGTTACTGCTTTCCAAGTAACTGGAGTCCTCTTGTCTCTGTACCAGTTAAAAGAAAAGTGTTCCAGGGCTGGGAAGGTGGCTCAGTGGTAGAGCACTTGCCTTGCATGCATGAGGCCCTGGGTTCGATTCCTCAGCACCACATACGAAAAAAGCCGGAAGTGGCGCTGTGGCTCAAGTGGTAGAGCACTAGGTTTGAGCTGAAGAGCTGAGGGACAGCGCCCAGGCCCAGAGTTCAGGCCCCACGACCGGACCAAAAAAAAGAAAAGTGTTCCAAACTGTAAAGATGCAGAAAATAGTTAAGTATGGAGCGGATGTGGGACATTTAGACACTAGTGCACAATCTGTGGGATAGGGATAGCTCATGTGGAAGAAAGCATGGCAGTTATAAAGTATTCAGGAAAAGCCTGGCACTGGTGGCTTATGACTGTATGCAATCCTAGTTACTCAGGAGACTGAGAGCTGAGGATAGCAGTTCAAACCCAGCACAGGCAGGGAAGTCCATGAGCCTCTTATTTCCAATTAATCATTGAAAAGTCAGAAGAGGAGGAAGAGAAGGAGGAAGAGGAGGAGGAAGACAAAGAAGGAGAAAGAGAAGAAGGAGGAGAAAGAAATGGAGGAGGAGATGGAGGAGGAAGAGGAGGAGGAATAGATCTCATTACTATGGTGGTAAGGAGAATCAACATCTTAAACACTCAACAGATTATGGTGTCTAAACAAACCTAAACCTAACCTTAACCTTAGCCTTAACTTAGCCTAAGATTAACCTTAACCTTAACCTTCGAGTGAACTTTTCTTCACTAGTGGATAGAAGTTTATATGTTTTTGTTTCCCAGCATCACCACCACCAGTCAGATGCTCCTGGGTATGGTGTGTGTGTGTGTGTGTGTGTGTGTGTGTGTGTGTGTGTGTGTGTGTGTGTGTGTGCACAAATGGGTATGAGATCTTGAACTCAGGGCCTGATGTGCTTGCTTAGATATTAAGGCTGGTACTGTACTACTTAAGCCTTAGCTCCACCTCCAGCATTTTGCTGTTTAATTTGCTGTGTAATCAATGATAACAATTTTATTGCTATTTAAAAATTATTAAGACAAGCTGGCTTTGAACCTCTATCCTCAGGTGTTAGCCTTCAGAGTAGCTAGGATTAGGCACAAATGACTGTGCCCAGTGTTCCTGAGAATTGTAAGCTCATTGCAATCCACTCATTGCTATGACACTCTACACATGGCTTCATCGATTTCACAGAAAAGAAAATCACTGTGCTGCACTTCAGTGAATAGGTACTTACTAGATCTGTATATTGCTATTTCTTCCAAAGGAAAAATTCAAATGAGGACAACTTAAGTTCTAAATCGGCATACAAAAGCAGTCATTCAAGATACTTAGTTGGAGTAATTTCTTTTTTTAAGTCCAAAGTAACCCCACCAGATATGTTCATTTAGAGTTAAGAATTAGTATGAGACTAAAGGCCTATGTTTGCATATACAAATAGTACAGAAAATCACACTGAGAGTTGTTATTCAATGTGTTATTCAGAAATCCGTGCCTATTCCCAAGAATCTGGGAGTGAGGGGAATCAGCATCTTCATTATATCGAAGCATCAGAGTTAAGGAGTGAACTGGTTTTCTAGCGTTGCCTTTGACAAAGAGCCACAAAATCTGAGTGGCTTAAAACCACAGAAATGAATTCCTTTGCAGTTTGGGAGCCTGGAAGGCTGAAATCAAGGTATCAAGAGAATTGGATTCTTTCTGGTGGCTGTGCAGGCAAATCCATTCCACACCCCTCTCCGGGCATCTGCTGTTAGTTACCTCCGCATTTCCTGTTCTGCAACTTACAGACACATCACCCCAGGCTCTGGCTACATCTTCCCATGGTCTCCTTACTTGATCTGTCTTCATCTCTGTTTGTCTTTCTTATAAAGATATTAGTCACTAGATTAAGGTTAGCTCAATTCCTTTCTGGTCTCACTTTAATTATATCTGCAATTCCCCTATTTCCAAATGAAGCCATCTGAGATTCTGGGAAGACATGAATATTGGAAAGATGCTGTTCAGCTGAGATAAAAGGGAAAAACAGATGAATTACATTTCCTGACACAGGAATAGCAGCTAGGTCTATGCCAGAGATGGCAACACAGGTGTGATGTTTTTTAGCCTGAAATAGCTTCCCACAACCTGGGAATTCTACATGATTTCAAACAGAGTCAAATTTGGGCCCAAATCCACAGCATCTGGTTCCCTTTAATTCACCTGCTCAGAACTTGCTCCTCCCAGCCTGTATAGTCAGCCAGTATGCTAAAAAAAAATGTCGCTGAGGGCTGGGAAGGTGGCTCAGTGGTAGAGCGCTTGCCTTGCATGCTCAAGGCCCTGGGTTCAATTCCTCAGCACCACATAAGCAAAAAAAGAAAAAACCGGAAGTGGTACTGTGGCTCAAGTGGTAGAGTGCTAGCCTTGAGCTGAAGAGCTGAGGGACAGCGCCCAGGCCCAGAGTTCAGGCCCCACGACCGGACCAAAAAAAAAAAAAAAAAATGTCGCTGATCGCCATTTTTATAGTCACTTTGTCAGGTGCTAAAGAGAGGAAGGAGAAGGACATAGCCCCTGACCTCGTGGAATTTTTGTACTATGAGAAAGAGGAATTTAATTGATTGGATATATATATATATAAATATATATATGATCAATTTCACTTCTTTCAGTGTGGGAAGTTCTTCAAAGCACCCTCAGTTTCAGTAATTCACCAAGAGTATTTGCAGATCTCTGTATATAGACACACTTATAACCATGCTTTATTAGAACAAAAAGATTCCAAGCATAAAGACACGTAAGAGAAGCCTGGGGAAAATGAGTCACTAGATTCAAGGATTTTCTCTCATTAGAACCACACTTGGGGATGGGAGCTCAATTGTAGAGCAGGATCCAATCCCCAGCACTACAAATAACAACAAGTTGCATGGAATTTGCTTGTTTTCCCCAGCAATGAATTGTGACCACTCAAATTACAACAAAATCTTGGGACAGATGATATAGCTTAGATCAATATCCATTTCCCTACTTTTGTCTTGCTTCTACTGAAGCAGAGAAGCTAAATGCTTGACTTTCTAGTGTTCCTTTTAGCTGAGACTATAAAACATACCTGGAGCCAGTGACAGTTGTGCAGAAGGCCCTAGGAAGCTACCCTCCTTGGTATAAAAAGTCTTTGGCCCTTTGTCTTTCTGTTTTGTTCCAACCTGGAATATGGTTGTGAGGATTAGGGGTACAGTAATCATCTTATGACCATGAGTCCAAGTTGGAGGATGAAAACCACACACTGAGCAAGATAAAAAGGCAGAAATGGCAGGGGACAGGAGTTTTAGGACATTTTTGAGCACTGAAACAGCCCAGAATTGTCAACTTCCAGTTTTGTTCTATCAGATTAAGCTGCTGGTTTTTTGAGCTATCATTGATCAAGTTTGTTGTTATTTGCAATCAAAAGAATGTCTAAGAAACACATTACCCGGCGCTGGGAAGGTGGCTCAGTGGTAGAGCGCTTGCCTTGCATGCATGAGGCCCTGGGTTCGATTCCTCAGCACCACATAAGCAAAAA